CTCTAGTCTTTTTTTTTTCTATTTTTCACCCATTTTAGTTTCTCATGCTTTTAAGATGGTTTGAGTCAGATAATATGACTTTGGGTATAATTATGTAATCTAAAAAATTTAGCCTTTTCATATAGTTGTTTAGTTATCTATGATATGCAAAACTTTTGTTTATTTCAGTGTATAATGCAGGGATCACTGTGCAAGTATCTCAGTCATTTGACTACAAGCATGTCTTTTCTTGGTAGTGGTTATTATTACAAGGAAATCAAAGTCACTTTAAACATAGTCCCGAGTACTTGTCTCATCCTAAAACTAGTAGCAAAATTGCATTTTTGGAAAGACAACTGTAAAAGCAACAGAGCTCCAAGACTGAGTCTAAGTTTGGTGGGGCTTAGTTTGTTGCTTGACTTTTTTCTTTCTTCTTCCTTTTCTGATTATAGGCCAGGTAGGTTGAGATTTACATAAATCTCTGACAGACATCTGCAATCATGCGTTTGGAGGCATACCTCGTAACAGTTTGTGGTGATTTTTCGGGAAACTACAATTTTAACTTAAAAGAAAATTTACAATTCTTTTACCATAAATAGAGGCTAGAATTACGTCTTTGAGGTATGTTTAATTATAGGTTAATGAAATTATAAATTATAAAGAAAAAAGATGCAAACAGAAACTTAAGTATATACATTTTAGCCATGAAGTTTTGACTGTGAATATAAAACTAGAGTTATGGTCTTTCAATTACTGTGTAGTTGTTTTCTATGTTGTTTTTGGCAAATGTTGGTACATTTATGAAGCATATTTTGCAAAAATAAGGCTGTGTTTTGAGATAGAGTACAGCATGTATTGAATGGTGATAAATGTGCTTGGAACAATAGCTCATTTAAAATATTAGTTGCTAGTTAAGTAACTGCTCTACACAGCTTGGAACTATGCAGGAAGCTACTGGAAAAAATAAAGAATAGGAATGTAGCTCCTTTAAAATACTTGAAAATATTTTGTGAATATTTTAAATAACTCATGATCATGATTTTCTTAATAAAGATTATCAGGATGGAGAGTTCATCTTACTTGATAGATCCTTATGTGATCTTAGGGCATATACTGGTACCAAGTTATGTTCATAGACAAGATATTGATTTGAATTTTATTTTCTGTATCTGTACTAATATGCATGGGACCTAGAGTTTTTCACCTGGTAGGCAAGTGTTCTACTACTGAGCTATACTTTGGCTGTGATTATTTTGGATATGTTGGTATAGCCAAAAGCAGTATTGATCATGAGCATTCAGGAAAAAAAAGCATATTTCCAGATAGGTGGTTAATTGCTGAAGAAAAGTTTGAAGACTGTCAAGAAAGGCAACAATAAAATATTTAATTTAAAAATCTCTAATATGATGTTAAATATACTCTGGGTAGTATAAGGATAAAACAGGCTGTTCTTTTATATATATTTTATTGAGTTTTTGTGCATTTCATGCAGTACATCTTAGTCAAATTTAGAACCCCTTCCCCATCCACACCTCCTTATTGCCCTTCCCACCGTATTCATGCACTCTGTCCTATATGTTAAAGTCTATCTGGATTTGTGCCTGTATGTGCCCTCACACAAGGTCACACACTGGAGTCTAGTCAGCCTATCTAGAGTCACTCCCTGAAAGAAGATCTCCTCTCCCTCACCCTAGAGTAATCAGTTGCCAATAGTTCCTAAACTAAAGTTGTGGCCTTCTTCCCATTTCCTCAGTTCTATAATGGTTTTTATCTGATTGAGTCAGCATGGGTCTTGTGCATGATGTCACTATTGTTGCACATTTATAGGAGCAAGTTCCATAGGCCTGAAAGCCTCTTTTTCCTTATGCTCATGCACCAACCTTGACTCTTTCCACCCCCTTTTCTGCAATGGTCCCTGAGCCCTGGGTGGGTGAGGTTTAGTATAGGGGTCCTATTCAGGGACATAGGCTTACAGGGTATAGCTCCATTGCAGAGCATTTGACTGCAGGAACACACACTCTATAGTTTCTTATTTTTCAAACTTGGCCAGTTGTGGCCTTCCTTGTGCATCATACTCTGTTGTATGAGGAAGGTTTTCTGATAAGAGTTGAGGGATGTGTTAATATTCTCTCTACCCCTTGTTTTGCTAAGTTCCACGAGTCTTAGGTGTAGAGGTTCCACTGTAGATGTGTTGCTTAGGGATGGGCATCTCTCAGACATATATTCTCTGTGTGTGACCAGTTGTGGAATTCTGCACTAGACACCATCTGTTGCAAAAAAAGAAGCTTCTTTGATGAGTGGTGTGCAGTATACTTGTCTATAAATATAAGGACCTATATTTAGCATGCAAGAAATTTCAATTGTCTAGAGATATGACAGAAATAGGATCTATGAAAGATCAGATCTTTCTCAAGCATCTAGGACCTCTCCAGCCATGTGTATTTGGCTATGTTTACAGTTCCACTCAATACTAAGGAAAATAATTGGCTAAAAACGAATTAAGTTATGGAAAATTAAGAAGGAAGAAGAAGAAGAAGAAGAAGAAGAAGAAGAAGAAGAAGAAGAAGAAGAAGAAGAAGAAGAAGAAGAAGAAGAAGAAGAAGAAGAAGAAGAAGAAGAAGAAGAAGAAGAAGAAGAAGAAGAAGAAGAAGAAGAAGAAGAAGAAGAAGAAGAAGAAAATTAATAGAGTTTTGTGTGAAGTCCACTGCTTTAATGGGCCTTACTGATACTATGTTATAGTTTGATGGAACAAAGCCAGGAGTGAGTATGGTGAATTCTTCCTATCTCTGTAAGTAGCTGCTTATCTAAGAGGCTGGACATTGTTCTCATTTTATCTAGAAAGGTCATGCAAGACTTGCAGTCATTTAATAATGCCAGTTCATGTGAAACTTTGTGCTTGTATTGGATACAGATCAATACAAAATCCTGGGCCCAAATAATAAGGTTTTTGTTTTGTTTTGTTTTGTTTTTTTGTTTTAAACAACTTGTTTATTTCTTGGTGTGAGGATATAGTTCAGTTGGTGGAGTGGTTCCCTAGCATACACAATGCTCTAGGTTTATTGTCCAATACCACATAACTGAGATCATTTTGCTGGCTCAGTTTCTAAGGCACTGGGAATAAGGAGCAGATAGACAGCTGTGTGGTGTGCTGTGCTGCTGACAGTTTGATCTGAAATGAGAAAAGTTGGTGACACCTTCCTGTAGCATTTGACTTCAGCTTATTTACCTTCACATTTCTTTTTCTCTAACCATTTCATATTTTCTCATATATAATATTAATGAAAACTGTAAAATATACAATCCATGGTAGCCAATCATTTTAGTATTTAAAAAACTGTAATCATTATTTGTATTTTTTTAATGGAATTATTTGGAACAATGTCCTAGAATATACTGCTGGGCATGATGGCTCACACCTGTAATCCTAACATTTGGGAAATGGAGGCAGAGGACTAGGATTTCAAGGTCCTCTTCCATAGTGAGTGTGAAGCCAGCACCGGCTACAGGAGACTCTGTCTCAAAGAAATCATAGCAAAATCATAGAATTCTTTCTGACTTACTTTGAGTCCAAAAGAGTTTGTAATTTGTATTTCTTTAATAATATTAAAAAGACTAATTTTCTTATTATTTCCAGTATAAAATACATAGGTTTTATTAATAAATTTTTCCAGATAAATTTTGTAAAGAGTGATGTTTGGTTTATATTATATAAGTGATACTTGACTTCAACACCTATTTGGAGTACATGTTAATAATAATAATAATAATAAAATGCCTGCTTTGAACCCTGTAGTTTTAAAAATGTCTGCTCTAACAGTATATCTCTGTGTTTTTGTGTTAGGAGTGCAAGATCCCCGGCATGAGAGAGTTGTTACTGTGTCTGCTAATGGGAGCATCCACAGCCCGAGCTTTCCTCACACTTACCCAAGAAATACGGTGCTGGTGTGGAGATTAGTAGCTGTAGAGGAAAATGTGTGGATACAGCTGACATTTGATGAAAGATTTGGGCTGGAAGACCCAGAGGATGATATTTGCAAGTAAGTGGTTGTACTCGGGATTCCAACACAGTGCAATGTTGCTGTTCTTCAAGTTGTTTCATTCATGTGGCTTTAAATGTGATCTTTTGTTTTCTGATGATCTAAATTTGCAGTCACATTTAAATTCTATTTCATTTAAAGTAAATCTTCCTTTAAAAAAGCAGACAACTCATACATATACTTATTTATATGCAGTCGCTATTTCTAGTTCTAAAATCCTTTGAGAAAAAAATTTGGATATAAGATATAGCTGGATGAAACCTATATAAAAAGAAACAAAGAATAAAAGTTACATAAAGGATTGTAGTTATACTAGAAAATCTCAATTACCATTAGTACTAATTTTGTATTTGAGCTTCCTGAAGCCAAATCAACAAGATAAAAAAGAAGGTGTCTGAAGAGTGCTTGGAAGAAGGTTCAGTTGTTAAGCTTGCCATGAAAGCATGAGGATATGATTTCAGATCCCCAACATCCATGTAAGTGCAGGCTGCAGCATCCCTGGTCTAGGACCCTAATGCTGGGATAGGTAGAGAAAGAGGTTCCTGCAACTCTTTGGCCATTCAGTGTATCTGAATCTGTGAGCCCCAGGTTCCATGAGAGAAATCCTATCTCTAAATAAATAATGAATAATAAATAAATAAAAATAAATAAATAAATAAATAAATAAATAAGGTAGAAAAACCAGTGAACAAGACACCTTAGGTCAGTCTTTGGCCTCCACATGCATGCACACACCTGTGCACACAAGAGAACACTTACACACACACACACACACATACACATGAAAACACATACATGTTTATTGTGCAGATGCACATTGACATACATCCACCCCCATGCAGGACCAAACCTGAATATTTCATTACAAAGGAATAATATGGTGAGAAAGCAGAATTTGGCATCCAGGGTATGAACGCAAGGTAGGAACTCATCATGATTCTCCAGCAGCATTCAAGAACCAGTCAGCTGGGATATCTCACCCACACAGAAGACCACCTACTGTATGTCAGACAAATATTGCTCTTAAATCCCGTGGGAATGCACTTGTCAAGGTTGGGTGGTCTTCCTCAAGAGCTTTCACTTCGGTGGTATTTGTGTAACATCAAAATATTTTACTTGAACGTCTTTGCTGGATTCCTTAGATTTTCTTTGATATACAAGTTAAAAGAGAATTTTCATTTTATCATATATTCTAGATAAATATTTCAGTTCCCATGAAACAAACTTCGACCTTGCTGTCATCAGTTTTTATCTTTAGCATTTCCACACTCTCCCACATTTCTTTTGTCTGTGATTGGGTTTCCTGCTGTGCTTTCTCTTCCATCTGGGATTTAGACCTGCAGCAGTGGAGGCTGTCCTGAGAAGGCTGTGATTCAACCCTGCGTTCTATAGATAAGCAGACTAGGGCAGCTGACTAGGAGCTCATGCAGGTTTTGTACGTAAACAAATGCTAATCCTCACTTTTCTGGCTCCTATTTAGATATTTTTTTTGATAAATAAGGTTTCCTAATCCTGTGAAACTTTGTGAATAGTCTAGGATTTACTCTAGTGCAAAGTAGCAATTTAGCTCAGTAACAGGAAGGCTAATGAGACGTCTGCACGACTGATAGGCCATGTTATAAAGGAGGGCATCATATGAGTGCATATATGAGCCTGTATACAATATTTTTAATTAATAATCAAAAGTTGACTATCATCATGCATGCCACAAACAGCATGTGACATGACTTTATGCAGTATGTGGCTCAGCTTCAGGAAGTTCCCCTTCTCATAGCTTTGAAGTCCTCTGCTGATGTATTTTTCTCTCTACAGGTAAATGTTCCACCCTCAAGTGAGAACCCAGCCACTAGCCCATCTTTCCTTGTTTCCTCTGCTTCAGTGAATCTTTGGAATATCTTGAATTCTCCCGCTGCACCACTGCTATTCAAACATGTGTCTCTGTCTAAGAATGGTCAGACAGCAGCACCAGCATCTTTATATTTTCAATTTACTAGGCTGAGTTAAAACACTTTTAAAATATTTTGCTTATTATTTTTTTATTTTAGGTGTATGAGTGTATTGCCTGTATCTGTGTAAGTGCACTCGTGTCCTACAATGCCCGCAGATATCAGAAGAGGCTGTAGGATTCCCTGGAACTGGCCTTACGGACGGTTGTTAGCTGCCATGAAAGTGCTGGGAATCAAACCTGGGTCTTCTGGATGAATGGCCATCCTTAACTGCTGAGCCATCTCTCCAGTCCCTTCATGAAGTTCTTACACATATATTATTTCAATGTATTCTAGATTTCTTTTTTGTTTTGTGTTTGTGAGATAGAGTCTTGCAGTGTAACTCAGACTGGCCTTAAACTGGTGGCAGTCTTCCCACCTCAACCCACCTAGCCTTCCAGCTCGTGGGATTATCAGCATGTACCATCATTTTTATTTGTAAATTTCCTGCGATTGTTGCTAAATATCTCCTTTTAGAAAGCTACATTTCCTAACTGTATGTTACTCTTATCTAGAAATGCTAACAACTTATTAGTATCAATGATTTTTTATCTGGCCAACTTGTTAAGCTCTTTTTTTTCTTTTTTAAAAATTATTTATTTAATAACCACATGTTGAGAAGAAGCATTTCATCACAGCATTATCATATTCAATAAGAATTTGCAGAGCAAAGATGCAATTCTTTCAAAATTGGCTGTAATTTTTAGGTACACAGTTGAATTAATACAGTTATACAGTACTGAATTCAGTATAAACCCTATAAGACATAAAATTGAATGAGGTTTTAACTTTTAAAATATTTTATATAAGACGGAAAATTGAATGAGTTTTTACCCTTTAAAGAAGATCTCCATTTCATTTTAAAATATGCTGTTTCCTACATTTTTAATGCTACTAACACTTAGACATTTGCACATGCATCTCTAATCTCTATGTATGTGATTATTACTAGTCACAGTCGGTTACATTCTAAGATCCTTGGCACCTGAACAAGGATATAAAGTCATCAGGTAGATTTCAATGGTGATGTTTTTCACCTCTACTAATTAACATGAAGCAAATTTTATGCTTCTTCCTCAAATATAACTTATTTTTTATTTAAATAAATAATTTATTGAGAATTTCATATGTACATATAAGAGCAAATCCATGCCCACTCCCTCCCCTCCAACTCCTCCCATATCTCCCCATCACGTTTTTTCTGATAACTTCATGTACTCTTTCTTCTTTTATTTATTTGTTTTTATGGGGCTTTTGGCTACTATAACTTTCCCCCTCTGAAGAGGTAACCCTAAAATCTTTTAAGGATTAGATACAAGCTCCCAAATACTTTCGACATTTTGAGCCTTTAGAACAGAGTATGTTGCTAACAGGCCCAAGGACATTTTGACTTTTAAATCTTATCACACCATCCTCTGAAGAGGTTACACAAATTGCCAATAGGGGTTAGGAAGGTAGACCTCTGGCTTCTTCCATGCTGAACAGGGATGCAGGATGAGGCAGTTGGAGTACCCCTTCAGTGGGTCTATCTAAAAGACGCCCACATTGCATATCTCTTATCCCCAAGGGGAAAAGAAAGTCCTTGAATCATGAATAATAGGAGATGTGAAGGAGAAGTAAAGGCAAGAGTAATTAGCATTGTAAGTTCTAGACAGGGAACTAGCAAAAAGTCAGAACATGGCAATTTCCAAATGTTCATATGAGAGTCCATTGGAATTTCTTGACAAGGGCTTCCAAAGCATCCCTCTATTGGGTTCCTCTTCATTTTTCTTTTGTCTCCAAGGCTGGACTCTACAGTGATAGATTCAGGATTTGCTTTCAGGTATTTCGATAGCCATTGGAGTAGTTAGAATCAGTGTCAGTTCCCTCTCAAAGGCTTCTAGATAGGGGAGAAAACAAATTTATCCACCATTTTAGAACAGTAGCTGGTTGTTTCCCTTAGCTACAGGTGGGCACTACAGTATTGGAAACCAAGATTTGAAGTCTTACATCTGAGCAGTACTTTCTGGTTAGGAACAAAATCATCAATCAGAAATAATTGTCTAAATAACTTTTTATATAGACTTAAGCCTAATGTCTGGGAAGTGTAATCCCTTGAACTCTTAAAGAGATATACTGATGACTTTACTCTTTAGTTATACTTTCCTTTTGGGGTTTAAGACCACACAATTGATCCAAATAAATCAATTCATTTTTACACTTAAGGTCATTTGAGGATCTGTTCCTCAGGGGTCACATGGGGTTAGGAGGAGCTCCTGGCTCCTTTCTTTTACCAGTTCCATCTATGTGAAGATAAGTCAAAGGTCCTGCTCGACAATGACTGGGTTCACTTGGAAGCATGAATGAGATGTTTTCCCTGAGTTGACCCTCTTCTTTTAGACTGGACACTGGTTTAAATCCATCTCATGGGGTCTCCATGTCCTCCCTGAACAAGAAGACAGGTGACTCACCTCAGTTACAGGACATTTTGAGAGATGCTCCATAGTCCCCTGTAACTTAGTTTACCTTGGAAGGCAGGGGGCAAAAATTGTCCTTTAAGTCCCTCTGACCACAGTAGTATAGGCCTCAAACTATAGCTGTTAAACATCCAATAAGGTTAGTTCCACCAGTCTGGTGCTTTTATTTATCATGTGCTATGTAAATAAGGCTTATGTAAAAAAATCAAATATTCTCAGATAAACCTTAACTAGGTATATTTTTTTGCTTAAACTAGTTGACCATAGAAATTTTATGTGTATATTATTTTTGTCTCATCCTTTATATATCATAACGAACCTACACAGACCTTCATCACTTGCGTAGGCTTTCTCATTTTTTTCTATTTTAGAAACTATCTCCGTTCCCATATCCTTTTAACACTTTTACTTTCTCATTTTCTGTTTTTTTTCTAAATAACTATGAGACATAATATCATTAACAAACAAATTTTCCATCTGTTGTGAGACTTCTTCTGGGGATTATTTTGAACTTATGCCAAAAAACCCCTCATATTTTTTGTGAAAAGAGTTCTTGTCT